ACCTTGGGGTTCGCTCAATTGAAAATTCAATTTGATACTAAAAACTACATATTGAGAGCGTAAAATATTACTTTGCCGCTTGTGGTACCGAGAGTGATAATGCTATCCATTCCAGCTCATTTTATATCGATCCTCGCTGAAGTAACCTTTGTTTATTTGACACCAGCAAAAACATTCCCTTGTGAGCTGTTCTAGAAAGAGATATGTTTCTGAATCTGTTCAATATTAATAATTCAGTCACACGATGTGCATTGATTCCAAGGACACCAAGTGCAGACCAATCAATGGAAAACAAATGCTAAGCACTCCTACTGAAAAGCAATGCAAAGAGCGAAATGCCAAGAGCGCAGCCAGTCGGAAACATTTTTAGCGCCGTTATATCGCCTGATTTAAATTTATTGGTTTTGCAAGTTGAGGAAGGCGATGAACGTGCCATAGATAGGGCGCGATAGATCAGTAGCGGAACTACGAACATGTTTTTCAACTGGATCATTACCCTTCAGATAATAAGTTAGGTTTGATAAAGACTGGAGTCAGGTAGGTTGATTGCACTGCCTACGCAACGCGATCATCAATTCATAAAGGATTATACTCTGCACGAATTCGTCGAACATAGTCGTTTTCTTCTAAAGTAACTGTCAATCTAGCGAAAAAATATACAAGTTGTGTAATGTAATACTCATACTAAATCAAGAACTCCCTTATAAATCACCTGGTTTAGCCACTACAACGTATTTTCCACGTGATCCGGTGATCATGCTAAACCAGGTTATTTATAGAGAATTTCTTGATTTAATATGGGTTTTAGGGGCTCTTCTTGCATAAATAGTATGCTTTTCCCTAGTTTCAGAGATATTTTAGGAAAAACGACTACATTTATTAGGTTCATTACTAGAAAGATGCCTTCTCATTGGTCGATTATGATCCGGATAAAATAATTGATCTCCTGTTACTGAAGTCGGGCCTAAAAGTTAGCTGCATATATGTACAACAAAGGAATGAAATGGATCATGTCAGTCAAACGGGATCATATAATTAGTCCATAGTCCCCACATATTTGTCAACAAAGATCTAGCCTAGGCGCTATCCGATAATACCGACCATCCAAGAACGTGGCAACTCTGCCACACTGGTAAAACCAACAAGGCGTTACTTACGTGGATACACTCATCATCGCTCAGTTATCCCCCAGCATTCGAAACAGACAGGCGTACGCTTGTTGTGCTATCCGCATTGGTAACTTGAGACTTTGAGTAACGATGAGAGGCCCTCGTCATATCGAGGCTTAGGCAACAAAAGATGTGCATAAAGTGCAGTATAGGTTGCAGCCAGAATATTTGAGCGTTCGCGATGGCATCGGGAGCGATCGATACGCCTCGGGAAGCATCTACCGCTTACACGAAGCTTCGGTTGACATCTAGATAACCTCGATGAAGCGGTGGACTGCCCTAGAGTTCGGTAATTTCAAAATAAATACCAGGCGCCTCCACCAGAGGAACGGTCGAGTAGTCGATAGCGCAGAAGATAGTCCAGTCGACATGATTATAAATTTGTCATAAATTAGTTGCAACTGTGATTACAAATTAGTGTAGAACTAATAAATCAGACTTGGAACAGTAAAAACGCAGTTTCGTAAGAATTATTGTATCATTCAAATTTTAAAGACAAATACACGACGAAATCTATGTTGTTCGAAATATGGATGATAAAGAATCATTACAATCACCATGGTTGGAAACGTATAAGTTGCTAGAAGTAAAAAATTAACATATACTCTCACCTTTCCTCTAAAACCACCAACATCCAATTTATTACCTCTGCAAAAGTGTTTCTGAAATGCAAAAAAAGTATCGTCGATTTTTACTTTTTTCGTTTTTGGCATTTGTTATAGTAGTTTCCTTGTATTGAAATTTCATCAAAATCCCACTGGCTCTACCCAAGTTATAGAGAGGTCAAGGATTACCGGACAGACTGACAAACGGATCGTTAGGCATGATATCATATAACATCCAAAGACATATCTCATTTTAACGAAAATTTTTGCGGTTACAATACTTCCTCGCCATTAGCATAGGAAGTAAAGTCAATTACTTTGGGGTAAATGCGAATAGCAAACCTTAGAAAATATGTTAAGGAAACATTTTCCCGAAGATAAGTTGTTTGCATTATTCCTCTGGGCAGTGGGTACGGTATTCCAGGGATCCAGGGTAGCAGCAATTATGGTCGACATTTGATTTGTAGATCAAATGGTCACTGTCCCTCACGTAAGGAGTAGGTAGCAGATTGTAGCGTCATCAAACAGTTAAGGCACTAAGGCCCGATTTTATTAAGCCGGCGCACAAATAAGCGCCTGGTACACAAATCCAACTACTAATCAGGCGTCTTTCAAGTAATGAATCTAACGCATATGGCCGATTTCTTGTAAAGTGTATTTCAAACTAGAGAAAAATCATACGGTTTGTGTAATATGGGCCAAAAACTTATTTTTTCTGTGACGGGAAAAAAGTTTGACATTTTACCTCTGTTGACAGGTAACAAACTGTCACTTTTTATGAAATTTCTTTTTTCCCCGGGGAAAAAATAGTATTTTTTTCCCGGTTACTGTATAAACACATAAGCAATTTAGAATGTTTTATTATATAATAAAGTTACATTTCGTTTATATCAAAAGTACAATTATTAAATGTGCATTGCATGAAAGATACGTTCCTTAAAATATTCGGTTCAACAGTCGAATTTTCTTGTGTTGAAAATATATGTTTTTCTGCCATCACAGCTCCCGTTGATGTACTTGGTCGCAAATCCGGTCTTATTTCCCCACTACCACACGTTCTAAACACTTTATTAGGTATTTCCGTCTTGTGTGCTACCGATTCATCAACATACCTTTCAGCGACCGTTGATGACTTCCAACCGCCATGTTTCTTTAGTGTCATCAAGTCTTCCCCAGATTCAACTAAAAGTGTAGCAGACGATCTTCGAAATGAGTGACCTGTATATGAGTTAGCATTTTCAAGTTGAAGAAAATTACCCACTGTTTCGGGAACCTTATAAAACTGGTTTTTACCCACAACCTGATTGATACATTTTCCATTGTGATATGCATAAAGCAGGCGGCGAACCTTTGCTGCTGCTGCTGCTGGACGAAGGGCTATGTATGTACATTCGGTAAAATTTAAAAGGTATACTTTTCAGTAACTACAAATCTCCTGTTTACATCATTCTTTGTTTCCTTAAGTTTCACAATTAACGTTCCCGAATCTTCAACATCATCTAATCTTACCTGGCTGATTTCACAAATTCGGCAAGCTCCTGCAATCCCAAATACAACAACAACCATGGCCATTAAATAAACTTCTTCGGGAGCATTATTAAAAAAATCACTAATTTGTGTACTTGTAAAAATCGCAACTTTCTTGGGCTTGTAACCTTTCCCATTTTGTTTCAGAAATGTAATTAGTTTGAAATATTTTGTCTACATTATTTTTGGATCGTAAAATACTTTTAATCATTGAATAATTCGACCATACCGTTGATGGCTTTTGTGGTTGTTCCAATTCCGAAAAATAAGCAAGTAACACCGTCTCCGACAAAGAATTTCCATTTCCATGCTGGATATAATTTTTGTGACGCTACTTTGGCTATTTATACTAATTACGGTGGAGTCAAAGGAAACTCGGAAGCAGACATTTCCTACTTTATGTCATTAAAAATAACTTCTGAGCAACCACTAGGTTCACAATTTTTAAATCAAATCACAAAATTAAATTGACAGCTACTTGATTACTTCAAAAGTTTATTTAGCAACGAAGGTCTACTTGTCGCTATAAGTACAACATAGCCTACTAATTTCAAAATTTCACATCGATAATTCTCTGACTTGAATATTGTAAAACTATAATTTTTCAATATTAAATCGTCGTTTAACCTGTCACAGAAAAAAATTGTGTATTATACACTGGAAAAATACTACGGTTTTTTGCCTCCCTCCGCTGCGCGTCTGGAGACAATACAACCTCAAGCTAAAATCTCCTACTTTCCCTTGTATAATAAATTTTTCATTTGCGTCCGCACACTATATTAGTGGCCTGATCTTACAATGCATCAATGAAACATAAGCATTCGCGCCATACTTGAAGAATGGACACAAATCTGACATAACGTCTAGATCAGAGTTCCACAAACTTTTTTGTGTCGTACACCCCTTGCCATATTTTTCCATGTTGGGTAGACCTACTTACCTGATATTGATTTCCTGTAAATTTCTAACTGTAGTGAAATTTAGTGTTAAAAACTTAAACTAAAAACACATGTTAATTTATACATTTATTAATTGAATTTAAATTAAAACTACTCAAAATAAAATTTTGTATCTGTTATGTAAAATATACATAACATTAAATAAACAGGTGTCTGACCAATAAGTGCCCGCATTGGGAATAAGTGCCCGCATTGAAAAAAAAAATAAGAGGGATAAAATAAAAAAAAAGTGAGAAATAATAAAAAAAAAGTTCGTTTATTAATTATAACATAAACGTATGTTCTACAATAATTTTACTGTTAGTTTGATTAAATTCCGCTTCTTATACGTTTAAGTTATCTAAAAATAGGTAAAAAATTAACGAATTTTAGTGTGTACCTATCCTTGAATTTTCAGAATAATTTAAAAAAAATATTTTCTATAAAGGGGGGTTCTTTAAAAAAATCAATGCGAGCACTTATTCCCAATGCGGGCATTTATTGGTCAGACACCAATAAACATAAAATAAACTATAAATAAAATAACATAAGCAATAAGTCAATATTTTTAGTGAGAAGGATGAACCTGATGCTTTAGTAATAAATTATCAACATTTGGCGTCAATTTTGTAAGGGTTAATCTTAAATCGCCTGATGCTTCTTTTTTTCGTTAGGAGATTGGTAACAGCGCTGAACCTCCTTTCCACTAGGCATGACGATGGAAAGGAAATTAAAAATTTCCTCGCTATATTCCATAATACGGGATAAGTAACGGGTATGTTGTTTTGCAGCCAGAATTGCTGATATCGGCTTTTAAACTGAACCTGAAGTTCTTCGTTTGTACTTAGTTCAGTCAGTTCCTCTTGTATTATGACATTCGTTTCTTCTATGTCACGATATGGATTAATTATCCACGGTGGTATTACCATAGTCAAAATATCCTCAATATTCAAAATCTGAATAAAGGGCATTTAAATGTTGAACGTAAGTTGAAACGTCGTCTTCCTGGCAGCTTGTCTGTGACAAATTGGGGAACTGAGAAAATTCGCCCCGTCCAATATTTTGCTTCATTAGTTTAACTCTGGCAAGAAACGCTGATAAGATGGACTTTGTTTTAATCAAATTTAAACTGTCGCCTTGTAATTGCAAATTAACCATATTAAATGTTGTAAACAAATCTGTTAAATAGGCGATGCCTGTTTTCCTCTTCATTAAGTTTTCTTTTAAAATTTTATCTTTAGTATCCAGAAATTCTAAAATAGTCTCAAAAAGTGCAAAAAATCTTGTCAAACATAAGCCTTTCGACAGCCACCGTACTTCAGTGTGAAGGAGTAATTGATGAAAGTGTTCGTCATTTTCTTTACACAACTGCGCAAATAACCGCGTATTTAACGCGTTGCTTCGGATTCGGTTTACTGCATCAATGACTAAATGAAGTGATTCATGCAATCTAACACTCAAATTTTTAGCAACTAAATGTTGTCGATGGATGACGCAATGTATTGTTAACACTCCTGACACATTTTGTTTTAAATAGCTTATAAATCCACGATAACGTCCAACCATGGCAGGTGCTCCATCTGTAGCTACTGATATTATATTTGATAAAGGAATTGCTTTTTCAATGAAGTAATCCTTCAAAACATGAAATATTGATTCACCTTTAGTGTCGGTTATCAAAGTTCTTGTGAAGAGCAGTTCTTCGTAGATTTCTTGATTCATAATAAAACGAACATATGCCAATAATAATGCTGCATTATCAGGTAAAGTTGACTCGTCCAGTTGTATAGAGAAATGGGTCGTTTGCAAATAATTACATAAGAAGCTTTCAATATCAGAACTCATTTCATCAATACGTCTTTCAATAGTATTGTTGCTTAAGGGAATTCTTTTAATGATATCAGATACAGGTTTGTGTAAAACAGTTTTTAAAACCTCTTCAACGGCTGGCAAAATAACTTCTCTCCGGTAGAATGCGGTTTTCCGGATTTTGCTATAAGTAACGATATATTGTAAGACGCTCGCAAACCATCATCATTTCTTTGTGACGTCGAAGCGAACATTCTGCCCAGTGTAGGTCTCTTCTGAAATTTATTTTTGAGTGTTTGAAAGTATTTCAAATCTTTCTCTGTTTTCTCAGGGTGGCATCTTATCAGATGATCTTGCAGTTTAGATGGTCTCATAGCGTCATAGCCCAAAAGTTTGTTGCATAAAAGGCACATAGGCGATTGTTTGTCCGGCAATGATGGACTGAAGCCAAATTTCAAATAATCAACACTGTACTGTCTACATTTCTTTTTAGATTCGGACATGGCATCAGTCATCTGTTGGCAAAATTAAATTATTTAAATAAGACAGAAAATCCAGCAGCTGTATATTAAAAATATTTTTTGATTTTTCCGAAAACATTCCATAATTCGAACATCTTCTTGCAACAATTAGCTCGAATTACGGAGATTGCACTGTAATTATATTACCGATTGCTAAAACTTTCAAACAGAAACTATTGAGGAGTACTCGTGTAATTTTGCATGATTGAATATTTAACTACTAATAACTAAAGTCATGATTGGCGTAATTTATCTATCTTTGCTAACTACGAGTACAAAACTAAAATTTAATAAAAAATAATGTACTTACTTTTCTCCAGCACTCTCAAACAAAATAACACTGACTCACTATAGTTTGTGTGATATACTATTTGTTTATATTATTTTCTTAGCACTTTCCTTTTCAAGATTCAGGAAACGAATAAACGTATTTATCCCATATTCGTATTTATAGAGTGACGAATTGAACAAGGTAGCGAAGCTCTGAGACTGCGACTCTCAGGTTTTTACAAGTTCAAATGTTTTGCGACCACAAAGCGAATACCAACATCCTACAACTTACACAATTTTATAAACATATATAATACATTTTTTACTTCATAGGTACTTTTATAAATAATGTATATGTTTTGATATTATAAGATAGTATGATGTAAGTGAATAGGTACTATCAGTGTATGTGTTGAGATCCACTATCGTTGACCCCCAATCTTTTTTTTCGCTGACGTAGACCCCTTGCAGGTTGTCATAGACCCCTAGGGGTCGATATAGATCACTTTGGGAATCAATGGTCTAGATTGATGTAACAGCCACTAAATTTTCATTTTATTAAAAACAACAGCATCTCACTGTTGATTGAATGACATAAATAAAATTACAGAATGCTTATTCTTTACCAAACATCGGGTAAATAATCAATTTACTTACTTACTATTAACAGGAATACGATATGTACAATCTACTGGACGGTAGAACGATTACAGGACTATGCATGGATATCGTTAAGAAGAGGGCAATTTCGTAGACATGACAACGTAGCCTCAACACTTATCTTGGGTCTGATTTAGGACAATTACGGCTGTTTGATCTGGAGAGATCAAATTAGCGTGCGGAATTTTCCAAGGTCAGCGTTCGGCTTTGACAGCCGCGTCATTAGGGCGCAATCGCCCCGAATTGAGCGCCTAAGTACATTATCGTAGAGAAAGGGAGGCTCGTCGCACTCTGAATGGCCGATAACCGCATTACATTGACATATATACAAACACGTGTCCATCTTGCAAGCTGTTCACTCAAGTGGATAGACGTTATTGTGGAGGGAGGATGCAATTGTGGTTTAAGTGGATAATGCTACTAGGCGAGTGAAGAGTTCGCATTAATGTCAAAAATTTTCAGCTCAATTTTGTTCATAATCGATTTTATTATATATTTCGTGACAGGAACTAAGAAGTTGTCGGGGGCTGACCCGAAGCGTTTAAAGTCTGAATTTCCCCATGCAAGACCTCTAAGAGCATTTTTGACTTAGTTTATACAAACTAAGTCATTATTATTTAATAAGACCAAAAAGGGCCTGGTTAACAGGCTCCGCCTACATATCGTTACTATGCCGGGCGTTTCGAATAACTCCACTCTCACCATTGTGATCTAAAAAATGGTAAGAAATTCGGAATCGGTTGAATAGGGGCAAAGGCAAATGACACCTCCGATTATTCCCGGGAATGGAAAAAACCCAATTTTAGTTAATAAAGGATTAAGTTCAGCGCAATTTAGATACGAACATGTACAACAGAGAAATTAAACGAATCGAGTCAGTCAAATAGGCCGATACAATCAGCCATAGACATTACTTCCCTGCCCTACTGGTAGTTACCGACCGTATGGCAACGTTGTCCCTTTTCACATTTGTCTGCCATCGCTGAAGCGAATCAACTTCCGTTGCGTGCAAGGTCCGTATGTTTTTTTGCGCTACAGTTCGGATACAATATTTTCTCGCCCAATGGCGTAGAAAGTAAATGTATACTAACATTGCTACCTTTCCTCCTCTACAAGATTCGTTTCGTCTCTTGTCCACAGTCAGCAACTTTATGTTTCCTTATGGATGCCATATTGAATTTTTGTATAGGTAAATAAAGTTCTGATTCTAAAAATGTATAACAGGTCAAACACTGCTATTGCCAAACCTTGGATATTTAAAAAACAAACATAATTTCGTAAGTAAGCCTTGAAGTTATTAGATAGTCATCTGTTTCATAATATCATCAGCCAATCACTATGCTTTATGAACTAGGCATAGGTGAAGAGTCTCTATTTCCAATTTTAATGATGTGATGTACACACATTTCATGACATGCATTGAGATAATAAGAATTCGAATGTCTGGAAAAGTTCCTATCGTTGGTCTTGACTCATAGAATGAAAACTTTACAGTTTTACGTAACTGATAAAAAGATTTTACAGCAAATAAAAGCTGCGACGATGTTGTAGCTTCCTAAAAGCATTTCATATCTGCTATATCTAAACCGATACAGACATCTTGCATACAAATATAGAATTTGAAACATCCGGTATATTATAGTAGTAGTATAAGGATATGGACATTTTTATCGACGTAAAGGCGCAATTACACTGAGGCAACAATGAACGACATGTGGCATGCTACTTGTTTCCTAGTGTTGCGTCTTGTTGACATTCGACAGTGTTGCGCAAAATTCTATTAATGCCGCATGCGGATTTTGTTCCCTATGTGGCATGCGCTTTGTCGTACATGAGTGTAGCACGTGTCTTCACGATTCAATTCAAGCAACTCCAGTTCAGTACGTCATGTCATTACAGACAGTCGCGGCGGCTGCTTATTTAGTAATTTCTTCGGATCGGAAAAGAAAAAGAAAAACGCCTGAATATTGCAGAAGAAATATATAGATGGTCAAGAAATTCAGTACAAGTTGTATAACAACTTGGTGGCTGACGATGGTGCTTTAATCCGAAATTTGATGCCAACTTTCGGGAAGCAATAACGCCCCGCATGAGATTACTAGTGACATTAAGATATTTGGCTACGGGTGATAGTTATCTATCGCTTATGTATCTATTTCGGATATCTGAACCAAGCAATTTGCAACACCGAACAGTTGTATTTTCCTATTTAAAGATATCAACCCTAAATAAATAAACCAACTATGGAAAGAAAATGAGAAAATGTTTCCTTCTTCGGGGGGAATACCAGTGAAAGTTGGGCACCATACCAAGACAAACATAATTGACAGCCGAGTGCTACGAGCGCCACACGGCGACCATTCCGGTAACTTTTTGATCAAGGTGATATTCATTTTATTACATTGCATTCGGTATCGCCCTGTATAAGGGATAATTGACAGTACGTCATATTTTTGCTCGTGAAAGTTTTCAAGTTTTTCAATAGAAAATCCGATTTAAAAACATGGAGATAGACTTTGGAGGTCAAAGTAATGATCCCCCAGCGTTCCCGATGATGAATGGACCCAGCCAGAAGGAGAGAACAGAAATTACCATGAAATCAAAGGAACTAATGATATCAGCTGTAGCAGACGAAAAGGACAGAACCATCCAGCGCCAGACCCTGATCATCGAAAGCCAGGCCCAGCAAATGAATGAGCTGACTGAGACCACGAAATCAAAGGAATTGATGACACCAGCTGTAGCAGACGAAAAGGACAGAACCATCCACCGCCAGACCCTGATCATCGAAAGCCAGGCTCAGCAAATAAAGGAGCTGACTGAGACAGTTAGGGACCAAAACAGTAAAATAGACTGCCTGACCACCCAGGTAACACAGTTAATCAATAATGCAAATTTTAAATCTAAATATGACAAGGCTGTCAATTTAAAAAGACCTCTTGAAAATTTAACTGACGTGACATCGACCGACGATGAAATACAGAATGACGGATTCATCCAGGTCAAGTCTAGGAAAAGACGCATCGACAAAACGAACAAAACCGACAAGACGGATGACTTCCCACCTCTTCCAAAAGCAAAATCAAAATTCAAGTTGACAGTCCCCTCAAAACCTTCTGCTTTATTAAACGTATCAACTTCTTCTGCCACTTGTCCTATGACGGTCGATGCAGCGACCACATCTTCTCAATCTTTGGCCACTGCATCGACTGACTGTGCATCTCAACAATCTCACGTTGCTGGTGAGTTGACCAGTACAGCACCCCGCCAGGGGCGAATCACGCCCATTGTTTTGCGTGATACGACCAAGTGGCGACAGCTAAACTACACCTTTATAAGCTTAGGCATTAAGATAGAACGCGCAGTTGCCGTTGATGCGGGAATCAGGATTTTGCCGAAAACTGAGGATGACTACCGAAGAATCGTTCGCCTGTTCAGGGAGGAGGACATGCCCCATTATACGTTCCCTCTTCCTTCAGAACGAAATATTCACGCGGTAGTCAGAGGCATACCCGCAATGTTTTCGGAACAGGAGATCAAAGGGGAATTAGAACAGAGGGGATATACTCCTCTCCACATTATACGACTCAAACGCAGTGGCGGCGCACCCATGCCTTTGGTGGTCGTGATACTGCCCAAGATTGAAAAGTCCCAGCAGCTGTTCAAAGAACACGAGCTGCTAAGTCTAGCAATCAGAGTTGAAGTTCAAAAGAACTCTAGACTTATTGGGCAGTGTCACCGCTGCCAAAAGTATGGTCATGCGCAGTCTTACTGCACAGCACCTCCCAAATGTTTAAAATGTGCTTCCGACCACATGACACAGTTATGCCCCCTCACAGGACAAGAGGAACGAAAGTGTGCGAACTGTGGAGGGGCGCATCCCGCTAACAGTCCCACTTGCAGATTCACCTCCAGGCGAAATCTGGAAGTCATAGCGCAAAGACGCAGCAAGTCATACGCGGAGGCAGCCATCTCAACATCTTCGGCTGCCCCCTCTGTTCAACCCACTTTGAACACGCAGAATGTGGACCTAGCAACTGCGCTTCGGTCCCTTCAACAAATAATAAGTCCTCTGATTAGCGCCACTCAGACATTGCAGGCGATCGTTCCGCAGCCATTGAATGGCTAAGTACAATAGACAACCTGCATTTATCAAAATTCTTTTTTGGAATTGTCTGGGCCTAAGGGATATTCCCAAAAAAACGGGAATTTCATCAAACTCTATTGGATGAGAGTATAGACTCTGCTGCAGGAAACATTAATCCGGGAGATCGCTTAGTTTTCTCGAATTATGATGTTATACGAGTTGACAGATTGAATGGTAGGGGTGATGGCTTGGCAGTGCTCGTTAAACTTGGTACTGACTATCACAAAAGCACAAACGCCGAGATGCAGAGCATTGAAGCGGCGTCCGTGGTAGTCAATATGGCGGGATGCATTCCGTTGAAGATCACCTCGGTGTATGTCAGGTGCGGTGCCAGGCTGCGAGAGGAGGACTTGGAAGTCCTTCTGGACTGTTCAGGCCCTCTTATTGCGGCAGAGGACTACAACTGCAAACATCGATCATGGCACTCAAGGCTTAACTCTACTTGTGGGGTTCGGCTTTACAACCAGGTGATCCGAAACGGGTATCTTATTCACAGCACCGAAGAGCCGACACACCATCCTTTCAATCACCTTCAGGCACCGGACGTTATAGACTTTGCAATATCTAAAAACTATAGGTTCAGTATTGCTTCTAGGATCTTGTATGACATCTCTAGTGACCATCTACCTGTTATTCTGGAGGTAGCTAATGGGCATTTCGTGGAGGAGGAAACTCCTCCAAGGAAAAGAGTTGATTGGGAACTATACAAGTCATTTCTCAAAGAGTTTTCCAGCGTCTCGGTCATACATGATGAGAACGGAATTGATGCTGCTCAATCGGAGTGCACAAGTTTCGTTCACCAAACTCTACAGCGTGCTGCTGTGCTTCCGGTGCAGCGACACGGCAGACTTTTTCTCCCTGCTGAAATTCGTCGGAAAATTTCTGAAAAGAGGGCTGCGATTAAGCAAGCAAAAAGGTCTTGTCATCCTGATGACATTCGTAGAGCGACGAATCTCGTCCATGAAGTGAGAAATGCACTCCATGAATTCCGCAATGAGCAGTGGAGCGACTTTCTGGAGGGGATGCTTGAATCAAGTATTCCTCTCTGGAAAGTCACAAAATCGGTCAGAAACGGAAGGCAAGAACAACTACCACATATTCATGGTCCTGGAGGCAAAGTTTTCAGGACTGAGGATAAAGTGGAGGTTTTTGCTGACGTCATGGAAAGGCAGTTCTCTCCCAATTATGATCTGGACAATGACCTTGAGGAGGAACGACAAATTGTAAGATCTGTCAGGAGATACTTCAGAGCGAATGGCGATACCAACATCGGTGCTAGCATCGGTGACTCCTTTTCAGAAGATTCTTCTACGGAAGACTCTTCAGATGACTCTCAGCATAGCACATCAACGGAATCCTCTGAGATTCCGTTTTGCACACCAGCAGAGCTCCAAGGCCACATTAAGGACCTAAAGGTGCGTAAAGCACCTGGAAAGGATCTAATCACCAACAAAGCACTGAAGTTGCTTTCACTCAAGGCTTTGACTTATCTGGTGGCAATAATCAATGCAATGCTCAGAACTCATTACTTTCCTAAGGCGTGGAAGGTCGCTGAAGTCATCATGATCCCAAAGAAGGCAGGTTCGATATTCCCCCAGGATTACCGTCCCATTAGTCTGCTGTCAGCTTCTTCTAAGCTCGCTGAAAAGGTGATTTATCGACACCTTGAGAATTTCTCGTCACATCACCATGTGATTCCTGGTGTGCAATTCGGATTTTGGTCTGAGCATAGTACGGAACTACAGGCAGTTAGACTAGTGGAGCATGTAACCAGGGGGTTCACCCTGAACAAAAGTACTGGTATCTTGCTTTTAGATGTATCAAAGGCATTTGACAAGGTGTGGCACATGGGCCTCTTGTATAAGCTCACCCAAAAGGGTTTTCCATTTTGGCTACTAAAACTGTGGAAAGGAAGTTTCGAATCAAAATTAACAACGTGTTGTCAACAACACGGCCCGTAAGAGCCGGTGTTCCACAGGGTTCGGTCTTAGGACCAATCCTTTATTCACTTTATATACATGACGTCCCTTGCCCCAGCAACTGAGAAGTCTATCTCTATGCTGATGACACTGCATTGCTAGCCCAGTCTTGTTCTGGGAACCTGGTTCACGACAGGCTGCAGAGTGCGGTGGAGGAAGTACTGGAGTGGGCGAATCGGTGGTTGATCAAAATTAATACTTCGAAAACGCAGGCAATCTATTGTACTAAAAAACGTCGCGGTGCCACCTCAGAGATATCAGTGAATGGAACTCGTATACCATGGGAGCAATCTGTCAGGTATCTTGGAGACATCATTGACAAGGGGTTGACCTGGTAGAAACATACTGATATTTTGAAAACAAAATTCCAAATTACCTTTCGGCAGCTTTATCCTTTGTTGTGCAGAAATTCAAAATTAAGTTTGATCAACAAGATTCGGTTGTATAAAATGGTCATAAGACCCGCAATCACCTACGCATGTGCGGTGTTTTCTTGCCAAGACGCACATGCAGAGACTGCAAGTCCTGCAAAACAGAATCCTACGCACAATTACTAACGCCCCTTGGTACGTGTCAAATGAGACTATTCACAGAGATCTTGATATCCCATATCTAAGGGATTACGTAAAACAACAGGCGCAGCGGCATTATAATCAAGCGGAATCGCACAGCAACCCTATGTTACGTGATTCAGTAGACTACACAGTCGAGCAAGTTCGCAAACATTCCAGGCCGCGCCTCGCACTGTGATCAAAATTAAATTGTAAATTCAGACCAGCCAAAATTATTTCAGTATACAAAACCGATCAAAATTATTTTTTGGAGTTACAAAATAATTCGAGTACTAGTCAAAGCAATAATGCTTAAGCTATTTCAAATGATTTACTTCTTTTCTTTGCTCTATTTCTTCTTTCCTTTCTTTCCTTATTTCCCTTTTCTCCTTAAACATGTTTGGTATCTAGGTAGCCAGACCTGACAGACTAACAGACCGACGAGACTTTTAACTAAGAGCAAAGGTCCACCGGACCGCTCTGACGAATAATGACGAATAGTATTGCATTCGGTGTCGGATTCGTTACCGGACCCGTTTTTGCCGGTGTGTGTATAAACGGCGTAAGGTTGGACGAACGAAAGATCTATTTCTAGTTTTTGGATATTTCTATTTATCGAGGTGTCAAGATGAACAGTAGCAGAGGTAGTCTTTATGTAATACCCGGTTTTGCCGGTGTGTGTATAAACGGCCTAAGGTTGGACGAACGAAAGATCTATTTCTAGTTTTTGGATATTTTTATTTATTGAGGTGTCAAGATGAACAGTAGTAGAGGTAGTCTTTATGTAATACCCGTTTTAAAATCAACAAGGGCAAACGACGCGTTGATCAGACGCATCCGCACTAAAAAACAGCTGATTCTTCACCTTTCATTTTCTTGGAACTGCTGGGGTGTTGCGTGAAAATCCATCAGTTGGATTACTTACAAGTTACAAATGCATGCAAATTGTCCCTAGGCCAGTCCGTGCTTGTGCTTTGATGTTGGATGGATGTCTATTGAAACCAGTTTTTGCATATTAAAGCTATGTATTCCGAGAGGTAAAAAACCAGAACCAAAATTATAGGTTAGGAATCCGACAGGGAATATTTAATTTCTCTACGTTGGCTAAACTTGCACGTTTGAACCGCACGGGTACCATGTAAAAAACCTATAAAACGTCAAAAAAAAATCTACAAGATGTCAACTTGCAGACTAGGTAGTTTTTAGGGCGCAAACAGTCATTCCACGTTTGCTCACTAGGATCGTTATGAACGTCCATCTATGGAGGAATCACTCAACTAATCTACATTATTGGTTGCATAGTTTTGTGAGGCTGAGTTTTTATCTCTGAGAAGAAAGTTGGTTAAATAGAAAGATCGAAACTGTATGATTATGTGTATTGTATAAAATCAGTGTTATTTGCAGTGTGAGAAAATCATTACTGAATATGCCGAGTATGACGGGTTATTTATGTTGTGCTTTCTGAGGAGAGGTTATGTTCAAAGTTATAAATTACGAAAAACTGAGGAGGATTACGGGAAATCACCACCGCGGCCTGCGTTATGTGTAATTACTGTTAGCATGTTTATGGCTTCTAATTCGACATTGTACAGTGAATATACTTATTTCTTATCTCTCTCATTTTTGAAATTCATTGTATATATGTTATTTCCAGAATGGATAAGAAAAGGTGGATGCGCAACTAACTTCTAGCTTTGAATCTCAATTAAGTGTATTTGAGACAAGAACCCAGTGTAATTATCATCAACACATACATTTTACAGCTTAGACCTCCAGTAATGCCATCTCAGAAGCAGATTTTACATCACACCACAGCGAAAGATTGCTAACCAGCCTCATGACGTTTAGGCAACACGTACAACTAAGTGTTAAGTTATCATCTTGAAGGATAACCTATATAATGTCAAAAAAAAACAGCATAATGTAAAAAAAAATCGGCATAATGTCACTTTTCAAGATACGTGATACCCGTGCCGAGGTAACAGGTCAAACTTGCAATTGCCTTGCTTGTCTTTTGAACTGTGAAACGGTTTTCAGAGTATGTCGGTCAGTTCGCTGTTCTGTCTGTCTGTC